CAGTCAGCATTACCCACATGTGGTGCTGTGTGCGACAACACGGGGATCATTTCGTACCGATTGGCACTGATTTCGATGCTGGTGGTGGTGGTGATGGTGGTGGTGTTGCTAATGCCATTCACACAAATCAACTCACCGACTGAGTCTACAACGGACATAATTCGTGAATGGCATTGTTGAAGGAGTGATTGAGTGGACTGGTGATGTGAACGACCTCCATCTGTGTTAGATACAAGAGATGTGAGGAAGGACTCGGGGATTGGGGACCACCTTGGGAGGCACTGACCGCGCCTTCGTCACTCAAGGCGACAAGAGTCACTAAGTGGAGGAAGAGGAGGGAGGAGGAGAAGCTGTGTGTACTGTTCGTTTTGGCAAAGTGTGTTTGGTGTTTTGTAGTTTTGGTGATGCGAGTTGGATGCCATTCACACACCACTTTGCACAAAGTGAGGCGAAGGTGTGAATGTGGATACGTTGGGGTGTGGACTGCGCAGTAGCGTGGTTGGGCTAGAGGGCGTCGTTAGGAGGAGTGGTGCACCAGCTTACATCACCAGGTCCACCTGTATGATGCGTGGAGAACACGATGCGACTGCCTCCGGAGAGGGCGCAACTGCGTGTGTGCGCGCAGTTGGCGCGTGATGTGGAAAGTGGGTGAAGGTAAGCGCCAACGCTTGGTGGTGAGGGAGGCGCAAAGGAGAATAACACTTCGTGGTGGATGGAGGTGAAGAGGGGGGTGAGGAGAGTATCAGTGGGTGGCGGAAGGAGCGCCTCTTCATGTCACACGCACACTTGGGCGAGGTAGTAGGAAGTGGGTAGTGGATGTGGAAGTGGTGGACACTTGCACTGTGTGACGATGTGGCGGTGTTCGTGGATTGGGTGGAAGTGTTGTCCGAATGCGCCATCATGATTGGTGGAGTGGTGAGGAGGTGTGGAGAGATGACTTCTGTGTGAGGCGGCATGTTTGGTCGTTGACTGTGTGAAGGAGAGGCAGAATGACGTTTGCCTCTGTAAGAGTGCTGTAGTCGTGTATGTGTGCGTGTTTCGTTTCCTTGCAGAGCACCGACTCAGTGGAGGGTTTGTCGGAACAGACGCGGTGGTTTGTGCAGGCGCGCACGAATTTGCATGTGTTGTTGGACAGTTTTGCTCACGCACCCAGTCGCGACATGAGTCCAGAGTTGTTGCGGTACCTCATTCGAATCATGCAGGTTAGCGACCTCGAGCTTCTTGCCCTCCTGGTGGGTGGTGGAATGCCATCGTGACTGAGTCGTAGGTTGTTTGTAGTTGCAGGCGCAGGAGTCGGTGTTGCTGAGGCAGATGTCTAAAGTGAGAAATAATTACGAGGTCATATGCAATCTGTCTGAAGTCAAGGCGTCACTTCTGTCTATACTCTCACCGCCACTATCGTAAATTTATAAAAGAATGCAACCCTAGTCAGGCGCTGTTCCATTTGGCTGCGTTTTACAGGGGAGAGGAAGTTGCCCTTCCTTAAAGGAAGCCTCAGTGCTAGCCGTGGTGACAGGGCTCAAAATGGAACGTAGGTCAAATGGTCCATAAATGTTTATTTATATGTGCCCTAAAGATCAGAGGCCGTACATGAGGAGTCAGCAGAATCCACCTCGAAAAAGTCGGAGGCACTGCTCGCCCTTCTATAATTACATGTTCGAGTAACGTAAACTGCTTTGGAAGAAAAGAGCCACAGGGAGGAGGCGACCACTGAAACTACAAACCAAACAATTAATCATAAAACTTAAACAGATTTTCTTTAAATTTGAATAATTTTTATCCACCGCTGTGGAATTATGTGCTGCATCGTGATTTGCTTCAATTTACTTTACTCCAGCATTTTTTAGGGTAAAATGCAATTTTTTTGCTGAACCGCAAACAATTAACCCAAATTTTTCCTTTATTTAGGTGAAATTTTTTAATATGCTTTTTTTTTAAAAATTATGATCGATTTTTGTTTCCTTTTAGCAGCCTCGATTTTGCCCCTCTGAACGCCTCAGCTACTTGACCCAAGGCAAACGAACGTGTTTCTTCGGCCGATGCGATAGGAAATAGGGACATTCCACTCCTATGGGATCAGCGTCTTCAGCCAATCAGGAGGAGAGAGGAAAGGAGTATAAATTTGTCATGTACAGGAGAGGACTTGACACCTTCCTAGGAAGAAAGTGAGTCCTTTTGCAATTATTCGCCTAATAAGGATTGCAGAAGGTTGACATCTTAACTTGTAAATTGACTACCACCATCTCTTAATGCCTTTTTTGGGGTTGTCTTGAGTTTACAACTGTCCCCTTCTCCTCTGACAGGCAAATAAATTTATTTAATTTTTAAATTTTAATTTGATTTTTTGTTGATTAAAAGAGAAGGCATGCGGCAATTTAAGTGGTGACTGCCCGCTCCGAGGTCTGACAATTTTGGAAAGGCGATGCCTTTCACCCGCGGAAGACAGAAGAGACGAAAAGTAAAAGTAAATCATGAAGCTCTGTTAAGGCTAAAGTCAGTCTAGTTTGAAGATGAGTGGAAGAGGAAATAGTTTTGCATCGCCGAGAAGTAGGTTGAAGTTATTTTTAGTCCTTGGTGGAAAGACTGTGTGCTTCCACTACACTATTTCTCTTTTTTTGCCCCAAATTTATACCCCTTTTGACTTTATTTCAAAACACGAGCCTTTATTAAAGTAGTTTGATTCATTTGACAGTTTATAGCTAAAGTTTGTTTCTCCAAGTGGAGACTGGACGCCTGCAAGCCTTCAACCTGCTCCACTTATCACAAAGAGATGTGATGCCATGAGAAAAGTCTGTTTCGAGTTTGAAAGTGCATTATGCACAGAAATTAGCATGAATTATGCGGTAAATTTAGGTCTTTTTATGGCTGCAAAGCAATGCTTTCACTAGGCGGCGTGAGTGGACGTACAAGAGGCCCCAAGAGCGCTAGTGCCATGCCACTTCCAAGAAGTGGACGATTTTAGGCTATGAATGAGGAACTGTATGACACCGAGGCCAGAATGAATAAACTTCCCCATCCAAATTCTATCACTCCTTGTATAAAGAGCACTCAATCTTCCCTTGAAGGCTCTACCAATTTCTACCTTCCACACGATGTCGTCATCATCGTGCTGCCTTCTGCTGCTGTTCACATTGCTGCTTATTGCCAGTTTAACAGAACGCTCTCATGTTGAGGCACGCTATCTCTTCGTACCGAAGAGGGTGCACTTCAGTCCTCCGTCAGCGTCGGCGATGAACCTCGTCAGCAGACATGGAGAAGGTAGCAGTGAAGCCATTGAAGGCACGAGTGATCAAGAAGCCCTCCTTTATCCCGGTCCGCGTCTCTCCCAGTACATTAACAAACGAGGACCGGAAATCTTCATCCCCCTCATGGAGGCTTAAGATTTGGTTGTTTGTGCATGTGTGTGTGTGTGTGTGTACTGAACTAAAGTAAATGCACATTTTCGGTAATGCTGGTGAAGTTTGTAGCATATTTTTGTCGATGGTCTGACCGACTCAAGTTACATGGCTTTGAGGAGGAGTAGAATGCCACTGTGTGCCCAAACAGGCACAATTAGGCAAACTGAATTAAGATTGGGAGTTAAAGTAAAGCATTGAATTGGTCCGCTGCTACATTCTAACGTAAAGCCCAAATGTGGCTTCCAAGTCACTTGAGAAGGGAGACTCAGGACTGCCAAGGGTTGCACTTCTCAGAGAATTCTGCCTCATAGATGTCTGCAAGAATCGCCATCACGCGATGCAGCCTTGAAATGTCATGAAGTCATAAGTTCTGCTGCTGCCTACTTTCAAGGAAATCGTGCTTCGGATGTGTCAGTGGCAATTCACCAATCAACCGTATTTTTATTATAGAATGAACCGATTTTTAATGAATTATTGTGATCTCTGAGGGTAGTCAAAGTGCCAAAATCCGCACTCTAAGGTAACCAAGTGGATGAAATTCTACAAAATATAGGAAAAAGTAATTTTTGAGACACGACGGATGAGAATGACTGTCGTAAACAACGTTTTCCCAAGCGTTTGCTTGAGGAGGCGAATGGGAGGACACAACGTAAACCCAAAATGTCAGTAATTACTAGTCGAAGACCAAGGGCGGGTCATAAACGACTCAGAGCATCGTGATGTCCCAGTTTGTCTCGTGAGCCAAAAGAGCGCGAATGCAACTCTAACGCGATTGCAAAGAAGGGCTGATGAGCTCCGCAGATAAGTGGCAGGAGTCAAGTCCCACTGGTAAGAAAAGTTGCAGTGCTTTTAACTCACATTACCCCTCCTGCAGAGCTACTGGCTTAAAACGACATCGTCAATCTCCCCAGTCATTGCCTACCGTAGGTCGCTGTCATAGAATAATTAAAGGTCTTCAAGGCTCCCTCCACTGATGGCATGCGTGGAAATGCGCTCCATTTGCACCACTTTATCGGTGAAAGCCTCTTTCCAGTCCACTGGAGCCTCATAATTAATCTCCTTCTAAACACGGGACCCTGATCAGAAGTCTTGATCGTGAGAAATGGCACAGTAACAGCACTTCTCCAAAGATATCTGTAAGGCGTCGAGGTCCAGCCTAACATTATCAGCCTGTCGTAATTCGCTTCATCCAGACATGGTTTTTAAACCACAAAGTTGGGCTGACAAAGTTCAAATTCATACACTGTGCATGGTGTTTGCGATTTCCTTACTACTTACTTTAATATCGTGCCATGTTTCAGAGCCACTTTGCCTCGATCCTTTGGTCAGGAAACAATTCCGATTCGAGCTTAATACATTGGTTTCAAAACAACTTGAAAACAGTCGATGTCAGTTATTGCTTGCTTGTTTCGGTAAGTTGCTGCTTCATTGCCAAAAGCCACAATGTGTACTATCACAACCATCAGCAAAAGTGACGTAGCCTTCCTTTTCCTTTTTTGGTGAAGTAAAAATCTCCACCCTCGCCTGCCTTATTCCCTGCATAGCTTTTTATTTGTGCGTGGAAGTTTAGGAGGATGAAAGGGGTAAATTTTTTTACTCACTCTACCGATTTCACCGTCTAATGCGTGTCAAAGTCCACAGTCCCATTTTTTGGTTGATTGATGCGATTTTCTTCCCATTTTCCTTGAATCATTAATTCTCAGAGGATGACATTATGGGCAGAAAGATGTCTTGTGTATTTACCTAAGTGAAAGATGCACCGCTGCTACTAAATTCACGGTGCACCACTTGACAATCATTTTGCGGTCGTATTGTTTGACTGGGTTGCCAGAAAAATTGTTGTACCACGAATTTCTGCACAATTCATTAAGCGTCTACCTAAATAGGCTGCATTAGCGCAAAATAAATCAGAAAAAATTTTTTAAGAAAACAATTTTTGGCACTTTGAAAGGGTCCATTCACAATAATTGGTTGCGTCTGGAAGGTGAATGAGCACCTTTCGGGGTAAAGACGTAGCAAAAGCATTTGTAAATCTCAGAAGTACCAACCGAATTTCCAATCTCATCAATTTATTATCAAGTTAACTTTTTGATCAACGTGTACGTATATTTGAGCAGCACCGTAAAGTATGGAAGCCCTACTAAAACCTCCGAGCTATTTTAACAGTTGTAAGCCTAGTGATCTTCGGAAGGGAGAAAACAAATCAGGATAATGCATTGTCCGGGTTGGCGCATGCTATTCGGTTTTTAATTCTTTTTTTGCTTCTCATAGTACAATTTCTGTTTATCAGAGGATGTTGATATTAGACTGATATACGAATTTGGAAACTGTTGAAGTTTACTTGGCTATTGACCAGGATTTACGCTACTTTTTCTCATTCCCTGTGCATTCTGGTGATAAATTTAATTTTTGGGCAGTTGTTCCTTATGGAATCTTCATTTTTTGGCACTTGAGACCAAAGTTGAATGGTTTACTTCGAAGAGCCGACAGGAAGTAGTTCATTCCAACTTGGCATCTTTGTAAAGACCTGATACGGGGTAGCCATAGAAACGATATCCTTTGTTAGCAGGTAAAACAATCTTAGGTCGATAAAATGAATAACGGGAATAGGGAGGGCAAAATGAACTCTCAAATACTTGTCCATACTGTTGTAATTGGTTTGAAAATGCTAAGTAATATTTATACTTTTAAACTAAACACACATTATGAAACAAAAGCTTTTTTGGGAAACTCGAGTAACTTTTAGTCTCCTACTACTGTCTCAAGGGACTAACCTGTTGAGGTTGGATGAGATTTTTTATCAGAGGATACAAGTATTCGGGCTTGTGAATCCCTGCATCGCCATTTAATGGAGATGGAACCGGTAATGCTTTGAAAAAAACAAAAAACCAGTATTTATGTCAGCAACACATTTAAACGTGCAGCTGCTTACGCAAAAATGTAATTCTACTGAATTTAGGTTAAGTAGAAATTCCGATCATTGTAAAACCGTTGAGAAAGGTGAAGTTTGGTTGCATTGCATTGAGAAGCAAAGTAGTACTGAATGAATGATTTAGCACACGAAACCGAATAAGCTGATCACTCTGACAGCGCCTCTGTTTTTTGAAATGAGGCTAGCAAAAAAACGATAACAGATTGTTGTGATGTCCAAATCACAAGACTTATTAGTGAAGAGAGCTCGCGTCGAATGGATGCGTTGTTTGATACATTTATCACACACAATCACTTTTCGGACTAGCGAGAAGCACGAACTGTAAGGAAAGTTATCAGGTTCGCAAAAAATACCCAAGCACAAGGCGTAGAAGCTTTGAAAAAGAGGTGCCAGATCATGTACCTTTGGTGCCACACCCTAGATGGTGTGAGAGGGGGTTCTACAATGAACCATCAACTTGGGTGTGGTGGATTGAGTTTCGCAAGTCATAATGTCATTACTTCTCTTCTACTCTCACGCATACCCAAGCACACCCTTTGAAGACGCCCCTTATTCTCTTTTGCGCTACTCGATTACAGCTGTCTGTTACTCACGTCTGACGTTCACTCTAATATTACCGCAGCAGCACCAGTTAAAGCATTTTTGCCTTTGAACCATCCACCTCGACTAATCTCCAAATAATTTCCGTTTTCGTCGCAACGCCATCGGGAAGCTGGTTTAGCAGACAAAATTGACTACGTTTTAGTTTTCAATAGAAGTCATCCCACTGAATCAAAATACAAAAACATATTTCTTTCAACGAGACCTGTCAATGTGGGACATCATTGCCGGATTTTAGCAGGAATGAAGGCATTGGCCGTTGGATCTGTCCCTATTCACGCCACTGAACGTTGGTCCAAAGTCTCGTTAGCTGAGGCGCGTTGTCACAAGTTGACTAATGACAAATTGTTTTGATTTCATTCGCCTCTTAACATTTTGATTTGACAGTTGTCTCCGCTATTTCGAGTTCCAAAAGTTAATGCAAAACCTGGACATCTCATCACTCAAAAAAACGCGCAGTAGTGCTAAACTGTGGCCAAATTAACTGATTAGTGTGTTTTGTTGTCCCCGAATGACCATGTGCTGCACACGCCATGGAGTTATATGATATTTTGACGGTGACATTTTTAAGGTAGGTCAGTGATTGTAAGAGAACAGGTGATGTTAGCTGTGATAAAGTGACTTTTGCCAATTCCGTGAAGTTGTTCTCACAATTTATCAAACTCAGGCATGAGCTTTGCCTTAGAAAAATGCTCAAAGCTTTGGCATGGAGGGCATCAGGCCACTGGCGTGTACACCGCCACAATATGAAGGCATCAGATTGGATCGACGTTTGCGATTCACCAGATAGGCTGGATTCTTTATTTCTATTTGCAAACATCACTTCTCGAGGCTCGCTTTGGTGTGGTATCACACTGCAGTGCAACATTTTTGCTAAATTAAGCCTGCAGCATTCTAGAACCTGCCTAAAGTTCAAAAGTGGGAGGAAGGAAGGAGAGTGGGAAAAAAGAATTGCACATTCATTCAACAAACATTTGTCGCCTTCCAAACTGCTACCCAGCAGCGGTCCGTCAAACTTGCAGCCCCCTGGAAACTACCCATGAGTTGAAGCAAAAAGAAAGGTGTTTTTCGCTCCTTTCCGGTACTTTCAATAGTGTATTGCCTCAATTAAGGATTCTCTTTAAGGGGTCTGCATAACAGCAGTGGAAGTTTGAACTTAAACGCTTCAGCCCTAGTCTGTCATCAATTGCAGTTTGAAACATTCCTTGTAAATACTGAACTTCTTTTGTCGTTCGTTGCGCACTTTTACGCCGGTTACCATAGAAGGGCGTCTCCAAGACCTCAAACATCACCGGCGCCGGAAACAGATGACATAAGTCCTCCTGACTGTTCTCCCATTCACCTTCCCATCAATCTACTTACACCGTTGAAAGGTTCTTGCATTTGTTAGTTAAAGTTACATGATTAAGCAATCATCCTTTTCCATAAAGTATCAAGAATGCCAACTTCCTGACTTCACTGTAGCTACTTAAAATTGAAGACATCGAATCGAGTAGGACGAAGCTTCCACCTACGTAGGGTTGGAAACTTACTCTCTTAAAGTCAGCTACAAGCAAAGGCTCGGAGGAGCTGTATAGTAGATGGACAAACGGGCCATAAGTCATAGAAGTCAAGGCGATAAGTAAGGTAATCTCAGGTTAATCTCATGGTGCACATAAAGAACTCAGATAAGATAATGCGGGTCTGATGGCGCGAAGGATGAGAGTAGATGGGAAAGAATGATGATGGAGTGAATAAATTGCCTGATGAAAAATAACTGTTCTACAGGAAATGCACTAGTAAATAGTCACGGGGAGATAGGAGAAGGGGAGAGAGCGATTTTCCCATTCATCATTAATTGCTGCCGTTTATTCTTCCGTACCGCTCCGACCGCCAGTCGCCTTGACGACATCAGATTGCCAGTTGAGGCTGCGTTTGACTGCATTCTGGTAGCCTTTCATCCACAAATGACGAGTTTTAGGACTGACTGCAGGTCGGAAGGTATTCGCCTCCTCTTCTCCACCCTCGTGCTTGCGAATGGAGAGGAGATCGGTGGGATCAATGCCAACCGATATCGCCGCAGCAACAGCCGCGCCCAGTGCAGTCATCACATCCGACTTGTTCGGCCGAATTATCGTCGAGCCAGTGATATCAGCAAGGCTTTGCATGAGCACAGAGCTCTTTGTTAGCCCACCATCGACTGAAATGACTCTTGGAGGTTTGCGTTTTGTTCCGTCATTCATTTCACGAGCTGCTTCCAATACTTCTTGCGTCTGGTAGGCGGAAGCGCGGTAGCCTGCAGCTATCAAATCTCCTCGTGTGCACTTCTCATTAAGACCGGCGATGACACCTCGTGCATCTTCACGCCAATACGGACAGAAGAGACCGGAGAATGCAGGCACAAGGTAGCACGCATCCATAGTCTTCAGATCGACCAGTTGACCTGACTCTTCCCTCTTAATGGGACCATGTTGCTCTAGCAAGGCCTTCTTTGCTAACTCGTCACCTGTTGCGTGGTCCGTGTAGAGTTCCAGCTTGTAGCGAAGCCAATCCATTGTGGCTCCTGAGTAAGCCACTGCTCCCTGAAAAGTAAATACAATACTTGAACTCCCGAAAATCGGCAAAATTGTGTAGGAAAAATAGATTCTTTACCTCTAGAGCGTAGTGAACTTTCGCCTTGGGACCCATTTGGTAAGCAATAGTTGTGAGAAGGCCATGAGGCGAAAAAGAGGCCTCCTCACCAATGTCCCAAAGAAGAAAAGCACCAGTACCATAAGTGACCTTTACATGAGGTCGAGGACAATCTGGATCTGGATTTGGGTCCCAAGTCTGACCAACTAGGGCTGCCTGTTGGTCACCAAGGATACCCCCCATAACAACTCCTTTAAGACGACAGTCAGGATCTCGAACGTGACCGTAGGTCTGAGCTGAGCTAATCACAGTAGGAAGGATGCGAGGATTGATGCCAACAAACCTGAGATAAAAAAATTTTTTTGAGGAAAATTGCTGAAGGAGTAAGAGAGATAATCGAATAAATTACGTACTCGCATAACTCTGGGTCCCATTTGCACTTTTTAATGTTAAAGAGATTCGTACGACTAGCATTTGTGACATCGGTAAGATGCTTGCCTCCGGAAGCACCACCAGTCAGCTTGTAAATGAGCCAACAGTCAACGGTACCGACCTTCAGTCTTCCATCTTCATTGGCCTCCTTCACAGCTGGGATGTTATCAAGCATCCATCGAATCTTCAAAGCCGAGAAATAGCTATGGATGGCCAAACCAGTCTTCTTCTACAAAGTGAAAGGATATGGGTTTGAGAGAACTTAATATTGAGTGGTACGGTGGATAGATGTGACTTCAATTACCTGAAAAGTGTTTTTGTCTTTCTTAGGAGTCTTGTCGATAAAGTACTTAACGAGATCCGAAGTTCGAGAATCTGACCACACGATGGCAGGACAAAGAGGTTCACCAGTATGACTATCCCAGGCAATGGAAGTTTCACGTTGGTTCGTAATACCGATGGCAGCGATATTCTACAAAAAAGCACATCAACATTATATATGCAAATTTAAAGCATATTAACTAATATCGCCTTATACGAACCTTAACCGAGGCTTTAAGTGATTGTAGGATCTTGGCGACTTTATTCATACAGTTAAGGGTGCTTTGGTAGATGTCCACTGCGGATTGTTGAACCCAGCCAGACTGTGGATGATCGCGGCCAATCTCGATTTGATGTTTGGCGACTACCTCGCCAGTGACAGCCGAGAAGACCACGAATCTGGAACTACTAGTTCCCTGATCAATGACACCGATCATCTTCTCGTACTTCTTATCTGACATTCTTGTAAAAAGTCGCCTTTTAAAAAGGTGGTGAACCAAAGTAAGAAAAAAAGGGAATTATGACGAGAACATCATAAAAAAGTTGGATATGGCTTAGAACCTGCCAGTGCAGATAACATTGGTGAACTTAGACCACGGTCGACCTTTCAAATAACAAATAAGAATGTTCTTAAATTGTCGTCGGTTAAGCTTTAACTATTTTGCAGCCGAAATTCCTTCCTAACTGATACAGGCTATGCTTGAAGTATCCATTTGTAACGACTTATTCAGCAAAACAGCATGGAATTAGGCAGATAATTTATCGGGACTTGTTAGTGACAATAGTTGTAAGGAAAGGTTTTTGAATATAAACAGACTTACTGGAAAATCACAATGGCGCATAAGGCGTGCCAGCATTTTTATATACTTCAGCAAATTATACTCGAGGTTACGACCAATCAATTCATGCGACATAACAAATTACAAAGCCTTCCGCTTACAACTTATCGAAATTTTTAAATTGTATTGCATATTAATCCTAATAGATAATAAGCAACGACTTACAAACTTCTTTGCTGGTAGAATTTCTATACCCAGGAATGCAACTAAGATTGGGAGACAAATAAGCATTTGGCGGTTATACCACTCTGAGACTTTTTATGAGATGGAAGAAGTTAACGGTGAGCTGAAAGCATGTATTATAGGAGTAAAATAAGTGATTATGCCTTGGCATGGCCTAGAGTCCACATCAAGCACACAAGGGCCAGATGACCCTTAAAGTAACCGCCAGACATCAGGCGGTAAAATAAGTAACATTACAGCAATGTATAATAAATGTGATGTGATGTATATTAATACGCTTAAGTTGCCCTTGTAGCGTCCCAAGACTTCCTAGCCGGTATAAGAAGTCAGCAAATACAGCTAGATACATGTATCCCGAAGACGACAGGACAAATGGACCCAAGCGTGGCCCGAAGGCCAGCCCACGTGTACAAAGACCGGAAAAATTCTAAATTGACCGTCAAACTTGATATGGTCGCATAAACAAAGTATTACAGCCCTCTCTCGAAGTAGTACCTATAAGACATTTTTTTCTCGAGACTTTACAAATAAGAGAAGGCATGGTAAAACATATGTGGTCAAGGTGAAGGCAATTGACTTCTGATGTGTCAGAGCACTTGTTCACCAGACAGTTGCAATTCGGCCACATAAGCAACCACTACTCTGCCAACGGTCAAATAGTAAAGCGCTAAAAAAGACCTTGTTAGGCACGGCAAAGACATTTTAAGCCATTAATTTTTCCCTTTTTTATCGAAGCTGTGTGCAAAAAAGAAGGAAGAAAGGAAGTATAAGTTGGAGACGGAGCCTCTCAACAGTTCTTCTTCCGTCCTTTACCTATCCTCTATTTACGGAAATTATGAACGTTGAAGACTAGTCTAGCTCCCATAAATAATTCCTCCTCTAAACTCTTGTGCTCATCCCCGCAGTTTATGATTAGATGCAACAGATCGTGGGAATATTCCACGCCTTCACTGTCAATCAAGTCCGCTGAATAGTGGCTTAGATTGTTTTTGACATCGTCTAGGGTATACAAGACGAACTTGAATAAAGCTAAGCATTTGTGTGGCATTTGCACCCTCACAAATTGGTGTTTTACAAGGCGAAATGATTTTGGATTAAAGCTGTTCCATGCTTTCATGGTATCCTGATTGCTGAGCGAACCTATCACCCTCCTTTGGAAGAGCACGCAGAGGGGTGGTCCAGATACGACGCTTATATGAGAGAAGCCTTAGGACAGTCTCAGCCAAGCCCACACCCGAGGACATGATTACAGTAATCAATAATGTCATGAAAACATAGCATGTCGCTAGAAAATGGCGTCATATGGCAGAGTGACAATACAGTGAGTCCTAAACGTCTCGTATTTCCTGGATTGCTAAAGCATACAGATCCACTAGGATTATAGAGCAAATGGGCCACTTGGGTGAAAAGATGGTGGTAAATTGTGTGAGACAGAGATATTGGCGGCTCCTGCTTACTTTTGATGTTTTAGATTGCTTGTCATTCATGCACCACATTTATCAGAATTAAGAGTTCCTACCACACCGTGATAACACCTCTTCAGCCTACGCCTAAGGGATTCTTAGGAGAGATAGTAAGTATGAACATCATCGGCCCGCCTCCAAGAACTGAATGAAATCATATCTTGCTGAGGGTCGACTCTTTTGCTAAGGTTGGTGAAGTAGAAGTCTTACCGGCGCAAGATGCTGAGGCAGGGATGACAACAATCTTCAAGCACTAAAGCTGCCAACAAAACGTACCTGAGTCTTGGAATATATACTAGTTCGTTTAAGTGTGCTTTTATAGGTGAGAGGCGGGGACCAAATGGGAGCGCGAATCACGTGCATGAAGTCGACGTGGAGTCTCTCTCCAACTGATATCGCCTACTCGCCTTATCTGCATCCCATTCCCCATCCTTCCTAATAACAATGCTTAATAAATTTTTGCAACCAACTGTCTCTTTAAGTCTAAGGATCAGGGACCAGAGGGTAGACAGGCAGCTCTTACAAGTCTGTTTATGGTGATCAGAGGCCTAATTTTGACAGACTTCTATTCACGGAGCTACGCGAATCCTTGAGAATTCTCAAAATGCACACAACACAGGCGCATCCGTAGGGGTGGGGACAGGTTAAAAGAACGAACCGTACCCTTATGGAGCTCCTGACTGGGTGCAGCTTGGGGACTGAGACCTACGTTTAGGCCGCACCCTCCTTGCGCACGGAGCTACAACCCACACTTTAAATCGTGTCTCGCCTTTCAAGGTGCTTACGCTTTGTAAAATAAGGGTTTCTTTAGACATCGCCCTTTTTAGTAGGCGAACCTAGTCTTAGGAAGGTGGGTACCACGACATAAAATGTTAGAAAGCATGCACCCGGATTAAAAGATTCTACGACGAACAGAACCCTATCAACGTCCTTAACGAAGAAGGCATAACGCGTCTGTACAGACCAAATTTACTCAACGGAAACTTGGCAAAAATTTTACTCTCCCTGAAGGAAGGATCCCTACGGCGTAGTCAGTGTTCTGTTGCCTACGAACTATCTCATCCGGGATGCGAACAATACATAATAATAGGCTAAGACCTCACTCCTGTAGGGCAAGAGTCTATGTATTAACAGAGTTCGAGAAATCGCCAGAGGGAACCCTTGGGGTTGGCATTAAGGACGGTGCTGGAAAGAGAAGGGAAGATTTGTGATATGGTTAAGTTGCTTTATTCGACCGTATAGGTCGAATGTTTTACTGGAAGAACCGACCGACGCCAAAAGAGTTCCGTTTTGTATCCACTCGCCCCTTATTTAATGCTATTGCTCCTGTTTACATGAGATGTGACTAGAACGTTCGTAAGCCAGTGGTCTCCCACAGAAAAGTGAGGGACTAAGGCGATGACCAGAACAAGATTGTCTGTTTAACCAAATCTGTTTACAGTTCACTATGCCAATATACAAGTATTGTTTTCTAACCGGCGGAAAGTCTTAATCCAATTACAATAGACAAGTGGAGTTTGTGATATCGAGGTCGACTTCCATGCCTCACTGGTTGCCTGTCTGAATAACCGATTACAAAATGATGGATGATGTATGAAGCTTATCGGGGAGATCCCCAAGTGGGCCTGTTGAAAGCAAAGGAAATAAGCGATATAGGGTTTGTTTGGCTGTCAAGATCTGTGGAGGTCAGTGGAATAGCCATTATGGCTCTAGAGTGTGAGAAGATCTAAAAAACGCAAAAAGCTCGAGTTTCTTTCCTTTTGCCTGTGTATATATTTGATGTCCGAAGCTCAATGCCTTCGACCGTTAAGGAAGACTTCTCAATGTTACATCATGCGTTAACAATTTTTAGATATGCTTTACTGTAATTATTTGTCGTGAGATTACTTGAGTACAATCAAAACTTTCGTCCCGCAGCTGGATTCCAAAGTTCCAGTAAAATAAATTTTGTGTTTGTAAAGGAGTTACTTACACAGTCAAAACACATCAGCTACGTTTAAAACATCTGCTTAACAAAATCTACGCAAACCTGTCGAGTGATGGGAGACACAAGCATTATTAATGAAATAGACATTGGCGAATTACAATTTTTATTTGCACACCTCGCTATCGCGGTATTTTGAGTGGTGCCTATTTCGAGGATGCGGCTCAGCGATCCACTTTACAAGCTGTATAAGCGTAGCTCCCGTCGTCGTTATGATTTGGAATTTTTCAAGTACAAATACTATAAAGATCCTATCCTAAAAAACAAAGTGTCGGGCAAGGGAGAGAAAGAAACTCGTAGGCCTTTATTACAATGTATTAACTGTGCGTACATCTAGGAGCAGTTTGTGTTGAAGAAATCACATTAATGTTAACTTGTTTGAAATCAAATGATTTTGAGGAAAAGCCCTGCTCTCAGGTGATTGAAGCCTTTAAGAAATGCGTCGCTGCTGCAGAGTTGCGCCGGGAACAAATTAAAAAGGCGCGACAAATGGGACAGTTCAACACCTTTTTGGATGATCCTGACGAGGCGAAGAAATTCTCCTCAATTCAAATTAATCGAATGCTTTACAAATTCCCGGAGCCCTGAATTTGTTTTCAGCAACATTATGTACATATTGTCAGTCTCTGAAGTTGTTGCGTTTTAATCCTTGGTGCTACTGATAGTTGGTGAGAAGTCTCTCCTACCACTGCTTGGTTAAGCCTTCCTTTACTTGTTGTTGGCTGTCCTGAGACAAGATTCGATTCACGTTTTAGCGACTCTACCTCTACCTCTAAATACCCGCTACCATGTTTTCTCCCACTCAATTATTTTAGACTGAATCTTTGAATCATTCTTACAGACCTAGCCTTTTCTGCTTAGTATGAGAGAGAGGGTGATTGTGCACTTCAGATATGGAGACTTGGTTTACCGATTCACGCAGCTATACTTGTGAGCATGCGAGACTGCCTTTATCACATTCCATTGATACCCAGAAGGAACATCTGATGAGTACCTGTTATCTCATGCCACGAATCGCCCTCCAATCGCGCCTCCCTGCTGCGTCTTTTTTTTGCTGTCACACATAGATTTGGAAAACTGACTTCCATCCTGTCAACTTGTTTCTAACATCGAATCAAAAACAATGGGATAGTCAGAATGTACTTTAACTCTTTCAAAGTGTTGATACTATAGAGTGCTAAAGGAGGCGGAAATCATCATTGGTGAATAAGGATTCTGGGGAGGCCTAGATCATCTTCTTGGCACTCGGGACTAAGAAAAGCAGAAAGGCGTTTTCTCCTCCCACTGTCACTGACGCTGAGGGGTCTCATCGTCATCACCTCCAGTCCTTCCTCGTCGCTCCCCCTCACAAGATCTAAGCGTCGGAGCAATATCAGCGCAAGGCTTGCATCGAATTGGAGGTCGAAGGAGGGCCCTGAGCCACCGGTAAAGGCATCTTCAGTAGAGTTGCTACTTTTGCCACCAAAACGGAATCGATGAAGGAAAGAGGGGCGTGCCTCTGTCGAGGCAGGCAAACTAATGTGACCGTGTGGTGAAAGGCGGCTAGCCACCCAAGATTCGATGCGGACTTCAAGTTGACTTCGTTTCAGTGGTGTTTTGCCTGATGGTTAAATGAGGATGAGAAGAATAAAACGATATGCGGGTGATTCATGAGGTTCCAGAACTCACATTCCGAGGGTTGTAGAAGCAGTGCATAGACCAGAAGGGCTGACTTGAAGAGTTCGGCTTGACCAAGACCAAGGAAGTGTGCTAGCGCAAATCCACCCGAGTTGGACTCGCAGACAAGTGACTGTGGTGGGGAAACATCTCATTCTTATGCATGAGTTATAGGAATTGGAGAACTGGGTTGTGAATGAAGTGGAAAACACGCGCATGAGAATCGCAAAGTAGCAGGCAAAGAACGATGAGAGAACCTCTCTCAATGGTACACAACAAGAGTTTAAGCATTGTAACATGTCCTCTCAGTTTTGTCATGGAAACTCACGAGTTTGCGCAAACGCTCACTCCACTCAGCACGAGCCTTCCAGTATCGTAGAGCAACAAGGGAAGTAATCCCACCAGCGGTGGTTGCAGCGCAGAGGCACCAGGCTAGGATAGCCTCAGAGGTAGCAGAGCCAATACCGGTGAGAAGAAATGCGAGAGGAGTGAGGATACCGAGCCCCACTGCTGCAACCACACCTGTCGCCACCACAAGACCTCGCGCACCCTGTGAAAGACCCACAAAGCGGTGCGTTGGTAGTACGTCGATCACACCCTCGGCGAAGGCGTTGCCAATTGCAGTAGGTGAAACTGGAACATGCTGATGGAAGTAAGTTTGGAAAGTGGCTGTTGAGTATTAAAACTGAGGAAGAAATGAAACAAAGGTCAAAGAAACGTATAACACATTTACAAGGCGGAGGATCCCCCGACTAAATGTTTGGTAATATGCGAGCACCTAAACCAGAAGAATGTGGCAAGCACATCTAACATCAGTTACCTCCAATAAAACAATATAGAGCGATCAAAAAACGCAATTTGAACAACTTACGCTAGTCTACTTCATCTTAACAACAATTAACCTGTACCTGTGAGAATCCGACGGCAATGTACTTCCAAACGTTTAAATAAACAGTGTTCCTGATGATCATGTCAGATGAAACGTATGAAGACTTGTGAGCATACCTTGAGCATGCGGAGGCATAGAGCACTGTCACCCTTGAGGCGGTAGGCGATGAGAACTTGGTTGAAGCACAAATGGTCCGATGGCACGAGTGACATTGCCTTGGGTCCCACTAAGTTGATTATGCGCTCGCTCCATCGCTTGAGGGAGAGGATGTAGTTGTCCTGACCTTGACCCGATACTGCAGAGGTAGTCATCGCTTCCACGGGACGCCGCTTTGAAGAGCGGTCTAGTGGATACATACATGCGGGGTGAAGACCACGAGTCCATACCCGAAGCACGTCGTAGTCAGCAGGATCCACATAAGTCTACCGATGCAAGAATAGGAGTCAGGTAATGCGTCAAGCCGTCTGACTTGGCTGCACGGTAAAAAAGGTGAGATAAGTGGAGGAGGATATTGGAAATTGCTCACAGCTGTCAGGTTATTTCCTGACAAGTGACAAAGACGATGCCGCAACCAAATGATTTCCCCCAGTGGAGAAAAACAGTCCGATTCCCTACCCATTGTATACCTTTCGACATTAAAAGATGCCTTAGGGTGAGAGAGGCATCACACAGAATCGAATGCGATTAAATCTTCAAAATTTCGGAGGAGATTTATGCAACTACACCATCGGAGCGTTAAGACAATTAGTGTGGGTGTATGGATGAAACACTCAACTGTTGAATCAAACATAAGTAAATTCTTGGAAACAGCAAGGCGAGAAATAGTTGAAACTACTGAGGAATTTTTCAATTACAATGTAGACATGGCAGACCTTGACTTGCGATGATCGGGATGGTCGAGGCAGACACGCAGACTGCAAGGCCTCTTGGGAGACTTCAGAAAAGCCACTGGACGGCGCAATCTCCTCCAATTTTCTCAGAAACCAGTACTCGCTATCCAGACGCTCCTTGCGACCAAACAAAGAACTCCTTCCCTGCACCATAGCATCTGCAGCTGGCAGTGAGGAAACTTTGGCATCCATTAGGGGTTGAAACAAAAGCTTCATTCAATAGATAAAAAACAGCAGCATAGACTCCCACAACATAACTAACTGGCAATTCGCAGCAACAAAATTCCAAGCTAATTCAAAAGCCAGTTAAAAATCCTGAATATCCAAGGATCCGATCTCGCACAACATACCATTAATTCTTCCGATATGAGCTTGTATTGGTCAGCAATTTTCCCATCAATAAACATTGCAACGTCTTCAAAATACTCCTTAAGCGTTGGGGAGACTACGCCAGGATCCGAACAAAGTTCACGGAACAAAAACCGCTTGGAAAGAGGAACATAACGATTTCTAAATTAGACCTGTCATGGGGAAACATATAGGTACTTTAGCGGCACTTGATGCAGAGTTGGGGGTATTTTCAGTGCCTTCCAGTCACCAACGCGGGTTTTGACAAGTTTCGCGATTGACTTCACATAATCAAGGGTGACTTTGTTTCTCGTTACGATAACGTGTGGCAGCTTTGGTGCGAGACCAACGGCACTACTGTAAAATTGCATAAGGAGAGATGGTGCCGCCCGGCGCACATACGCTGAGCCAAAGCCCTCAACGCTTTAACTTGCCCGCAAAACCAACTAGCACGCGTAAATGATTTAGGTTTAAAATTATTAAGATCACACAATTCCCTTCCAAATGCATTTTGCCATTCTTCCATAAAGCGGACTTCAAATTTTGAAACAAGGACCAACATGTGTATTTTAAAGTATACCTTCGTCAAGAACCCCTATGGCTGCCAGCTTTTTAGATTGGAGCCTAAGTGACTTTCGAACTCGAGATGCCGTGTTGCTCATTTAGCGGTGCATGCAGCTCTCTGAAGTTCTGGAATCGGTGCTGCCAGGAAAGTGAATGATTCTCATGGACCTTCGAGGTCTTCGTGTGCAAACACGATGGTACATGACTTGTGAGACGTCACAACGCAACCAAATCTTGAGGTGCACTTGCCGATGTATTATCTCGATTATTCGTCTAGTCCTTGTGATCGTAGCCTGGTCCTGGAACCAAGACAGGGTCCTAGTCCTTCTTCTCTTACAATACATATATTCCCACCAACGTAGAGCCTTTTCCCCAGAGCGCCTCAGTCGAAAATATAATTTTATGATATTCGACTGCACGAAACATGATCTGCGATGTTCTGAGACCTTTTTATTAACGATAAAGGGCATAGCATTTCAAATATGTACATTTTCTTACCAAAAATGTAAATTAGGTGCGCTTCTTGAAATAATTTGTTTACGTTACCACATTATGTATGATGGTGGCCTTAAGAATCGTATTGTTCTTGTACGCATGGACTGGCTTTCGGGCCAAGCTCGAATCTACTCTATCCTCCTTGGAATATATGTTCTCAACTCCACTTACTGCTTCTTCTACTCGGTAGGAAGTCTCGAGACGCTGCGGAGAACAGCACCCCTCGTTTAAGGTCATGGCCATGTAAAAACTGCAATAGAGGATCCCCAAGTTGTCCATGGAAGTCGATACTTCTGTTGTTAACAGTTCTCCTGTGACATAAGGGAGAGAGTTTGATCCCCAAATGGCAACAACGTTTGGAGGAGGGGGGGGAAGGGTGTCGGAAATCATCCCACATGTGGTGCATGTACAGCACTTGAGGAGAATACATACACTTGACAAGAGAGAGTGAGGTGTACCCCTCCGACATGATCAAAAGACATTCTTACTTGACCAAAACTCTTGACGCAAACAAGCGCTTCACGCTCCACAAATTTTGAATAGGTGTGCGTCAGATCCCCAACGAACTAGTCCACGAATTCCTTTACGTTCACTAGTACAAAATCTAAGACGATGCTTCGGAACGTACACAATGAACCACACTTATTCGTGAGACGATTGCATGCAACCACGGCTCCACTTCGTAGTAACTGCTCGCTCCGCCTGAACCACAAGTCAGTGGAATAAATAACCGACTAGTTATAGCAATGATAGCTTTGGGGACACTTGCGCAGGCTAGTGACCGATTCCCGCATAGCATTGCAGTGAAACCAAAATTGGAATAACAGTTGGAGATTTGTATAAGGGCCCCCAGTTGCGCCCCTTTAATAGTTTTTCAAGTGCAAACAGAATGCAAGATGACCTGTAAAAGTAGCCGCAGCTATCCTAAACAAAGCAAAATTCGTGACTGTGAGTTCGGTTAACAGATTAGACCCATAACCCGCAATCAGTGTCTGCAGATCAATAATAATAAAAGACTTCGAGAGTTGTATGCACCATCTCAAAAACAATAGGTCATAAACCGACTTGGTTTGTTTGGGGAGTCAGACATACATAAACCTATATATCAATTATGACGAAAACTTCATGATGTCCATCGGTATCGTGAATCTGCATGTTGGAGTACGTGATGGCCTTCACTTCAGTGCCCTGAGGATGCTTCTTTAAATCAAAAGGCTCACCCCATCTACGACGACGATTATTAAACAATCAGTGAGACAACGGAGACCTACCCCACGGATTTTATGCGAAAATTGTCCCTGTCGAATTCAGTTATTTTGATCACCTGTGGGGAAAGGAAAGGAACTAGATGTGAAGTTAAAGAGTAAAGCATAGAAAAAGTTTTATTACCCTTGGGAAGAAGAATTCATCTGCACAGAAAGCGAAAAGCCATTCGTCGAGGAACTGGAACAAAAGGCTCTTCATATCGGTGCCTGAATAAAACGAAACAGCAAAAATTAAGTTTGACAATATAAAATTTTAAAGTGCCAAAGATGAAGATTAAGGTTGGAATGCTTCCATTTTAATGCAATTCACATGTGCTCCAAGATAATAGCTGGCCAAAAAAAAAACAAAACAACGTGCAAATGAACAGTAAAACCTACCACTGGCTTCAATTTTGAGTGAGTGCGTCATGTCAATGGAGTCATAATCCGTGGTCATGTAACCGAACATAGCCATCGCAACCTATAATACATGCCTAAATGATAATTTTAAAACCCACTTGTTCAAAGGCTTCCTTTAAGTCGCCACCCCAAGCATGGAGTCTGCATTACGGGTCAAGGAAAACCGTTTCATACTTACTGTACATCAGCGGTGTGATCCAAATCTAATTAATTCACATAAAGTCGATTCAATTCAAACCAACATTCAAACTTCTGATCCGGTATTGATGGGACGTCACCTTTTGCACTTTTAGCCATACTTCTGTTAAATATGGAAGTAAAAAACAACCAGATAGAAGCCTTCACAAGCTAACGTCAGTCATCTACATAGTTCCTCATTCAAATGTCAAAAAAGTAAACGGGAGTTTCTCCATAAAAAATGCAGATAAAATCAAGCTCCGTAAATAAAAGGGCAGGTCACACAACCTCAGCCTGCGTAGGGGAACACAATCTTAAGTTTCGCGCTAACGGTATTAACAGCTTTTAAGATAAAATGCCAATATATCACATTTATGTTAGGAAGTTTTTCTGTTGTAAGGAACCAGCTGACTACTATAGTGAAGCGTATGCATTATAAGAATGCGTAAAGCAAAATATTGACTTGAAGGGCGATTTTTTGAACTGGTGTATATATATAGCCCTACTGACGGCATTTACATGCGCTGCTTTTACGAATTGCTAGGTTTGTGTTTATCTCTTGCATAGGTACGGTAGGGGTCGAAAGGACAGCCGATGTAGCAGAACTTAAGAAAGGTTATTATAAAGAATCTTTGAAATGGCATCCAGACAAAAATCCGACTGAGGAGGCCACTTCTCGCTTTCAGGAAATTCAAGAAGCCTATCGGTAGTCGAGGTTTTGGTAGATGACAGCGCTTCGTAGAGTCTTATCAGATGCCCAAGAGCGTGCCTGGTATGATCGGCACAGGGATCAAATTCTTCAGGGTGGACAAGGTGGCGCTGGCGGTGACTACAAAGAGGAACGATTAGATGTCTTCCAGTTCTTCTCGCGTTCATGTTTCGAGGACTTTGACGATGGTCCTAAAGTTTGTTGTTTCCTCCCCTTTCTCATTTTCAATAACTCGACTTCACTTAGGGTTTCTATACGGTTTATCGACATGCCTTCGAAGAGATAGCGGCTGAAGAACGAAGGGCCGCGGATGATTATTCCAATTCTAGTGAGGATGAATTGGCTTCGTTTCCCACCTTTGGTAAGTCAGATAGCGACTACGACTCTGTGGTGCGGTCCTTCTATACTTTCTGGGAGGGATTCACCACTCGCAAATCATACTCCTGGGTCGACCGCTATGATACACGACGCCTATCCTCAAGAATTGTAAGTTACACGGAATGTTTTTAGCACATTTTTTACTATTGTGTTGCATATCAGAAGCATTACTGGGGCCAAATGAGAACAGGAAAATATTCTTCAAACTGTTACTTTACGCCGTCTGTGGTAACGCCCACGCCTTTGCTAAAACATAGCAGGAAGGCAGCTTTGGTGCCTGACATAAATCTATTGGTTGTTTTTAAAAGCTTTTTGATGTGGGTAGTAAGAAATATCCGGTCTGGTGCCTAAGATTGTTTCCAGACACTAAAGTGACCGCTAATTTTGCTTGTGTATGCGAAGCCTTTGGATTTAACTGATCTTCTTCAATGTCTCGTGCTGTGTGAATCGGAAGATTGAAGGATCTTGTAATTCCCTTTAACGCCCTACTTTTTTCTACCACTAACGTTTGTTTCAACCTTTGAAGCCGACTGCAAATGAGGCTTGAAACTCTCGAAATACATTTTATTATTCGTGTCTTCATTACGAATGCTTATGCTGCTGGTGGTCTGAAGGTGGCCGGGAGAAGCATCTTTGATTCCTTGGTGCCTTTCGCGGCCTAGTGTGTTCTCAATTTCAAGCGACTCGGATGTCCTTCGCATTCACACAGTATTTTAAATAAAAGAGTTTCCACTACTTACGAACACAATTCCTCTAAGTCCAAGTCGCACATTCTTGTCTGAATGAGCACAATTTATACATGCAATTTAGTAAACTCCAAAGATTTCGCCTTTATTGACAATTGTCCAAACGTACGTCGATATCTTATTTTTTCCCCTATCGCAAAACCCAGGAGCGGCGAGCAGCGGAAGCAGAGAACCGCAAAGCTCGTGAAGCAGCTAGAAAGGAGCGCAGTGAAGAGGTTCGTCAACTCGTCGCCTACGTGCGTCGTCGGGATAAGCGATTGGAGGCGCAGAGAGAACGCCTTGCGGAGGCTGCCAAACATGCGCATGCGCGAAATCAAGAGCAGGCGAGCAAGGCAAGACAGAGGTAAGTCAATTCCTTTTTTATGATTTCCTTCACTTGTTTATTTCCTTTGTAGGAATGCTGCGGACTTAGAGAAAGCCTGGGCTCACGAAATGGCCGCTGGAGGACTGGCCACCCTATGGGCAGACGAATTTGAAGCAGAGTTGACCCGAATTGAGGCCGAAATGGAGGAGAAGAACAGAAAGAAGAACAGCGCCTTTGCGACCAAAAGTATGGATTCCTCGGAGGAGGATGCAGAAGAGGAAGAAGCGGGTGATGAAAAATTGTACTGCGTTGCATGTGATAAGAGTTTCGCCAGTCAGCCAGCGAAGCGGAATCACGAAGCTTCAAAGAAACACAAGAAGCAAGTGGAGTTACTCCGAGAGGTGCTGCTCGAGGAGGAACAACTGATTATAGGAGAAGCGGGTAGTGGGAGAGGGCATAGCGCTGGTGGGGCACCACTTCTCCTTTAAGAGAGAAAACTCTTGCTTTGTATTTAGCGTGATTTATTTATCCATTCAGGTGAGGAGCCGTTGGAGAGTGAGGAAGAAACTTGTCTCGTGAATGGGGCACATTTGACAAGACGAGCAAAGCAGAATAGGAGGCGACAGCAACGTGTTACTGAAGTTGTAGAGGAAGAAATGAATCCTTCTGAGACAATGACGGATGAAAATAACGGTCAGGATGATACCACTAAGGTTATGGCGGCTGATTCTTTAAATATACCCAAAAGGAAAACCAAACCGAAGGCTTCACTACGGCCCGGTAAGTGGAATGTATTTACCTCCTAACTGTTTTTTTGAAATTTCAGTTCCGAACAACTCATCAAATGTCTGTTTAATCTGCATGGAGGAGTTTCCTTCAAAAAACAAACTCTTCACACACATTAAAGTGGCCGGTCATGCGGCACTAAAAACCGCACCACAAACATTGCCAAAAAAAAGCAAAAATAAAAAATGACACCACCATTTTTACTATCCACTTTTTCCCCTCCCTCTTAATCTATTCTACTTAATTTCATCTTCAGAAGACGAAATGCATCACTGTACTTTACCATAACACTTTTATTATCTTCTGTATCATATCTCATCTTGCAAATAACAATTGTTGACGATTGCGTCCGTTTAATGCAAAGTAGAAGGCGAAAGGGCATACTCAGCGAGAAAAGTCGATGCGCATAGTGCCAGTAGAACAAACCAGGCTAGTCCAGTCCCGCAGCAGTTTGAGTCCATGCTTTGTAAGCACTCGCGTGACTGCAGAAGCGGTTGTAACAATGGTGTTACCTTCAGTGGTGAATTGGAATTGAGGAAGAAGCGAAGTCAGAGCACTGGAGAGGGGAAGGATAACAACCACCTTGTCGGCTTCCACACTTGATGTCTTTTTGATGTTGGTGTCAGCAAATCGTGCGTACTTGTTGAGATCTAACAGGCGCTGGCACCTCTCTATTGGAACCCACACGTAGGTCTCCGGACATAAGAGATAGGAGGGGGAAAACAAAGCTTTGTAACGCATTTTGACGCATGAGTGAATGTAATAGCCCATGTAGTACTGAGTGAAGTCGGCGTATGCGGACGCTCTTGATCCATAATTGCGATGCAGGTGGCGAACAAAAGCTATTTCTCTGAAACAAAGATCTAAGCAGTTGATTAGGAGCCTTTCAAGAGACACTGAAGTAAGTGAATGTAAACCCACCGTAGAGCAGAATAGGTGCCCAAACGGAGAAAAGAATAAGCCGGATCGTAAAAGAAGTATACGGAGGAAAGACAGCCGGGGACTAAGTCTATCACGCCAACTGCAATCAGCTTCTTCCCGTCCAGCCAGTACTGTTGATGGTAGGAGCCAAATTGCGGAGCACCACTGGCCTCTACTTCTGCGTCACGGGCGGACTGGAAACAATTCAACCAAGGTTCGTGAAATACGTCTGCCTCGGAAGCACTGTGCACAGTATATGGGTCCATTCTTACCACTAGTGGCGAGCTGACAAGAAACCTCATGAAGCCTTTTCGCTTTAATTTCTCTGGGGGATCTTTGTGGACAGCGACTTGATAATCCGAGTACAACTTAAATTCGTCATCCAGAGTTGCATCCAATTCGGGTGACCTGGGGTTACAACTATGCATACGGATCTGTTAGAGGTGAAGTGAGCATCAAGTTAAAGTATGTTTATTGAGGAAATGCGAGGAAGCAATAAGTTAATGCAACCTACTTCTATGAAGTGAGCAGCTTTATTTGCATCGTGAGAGGGGTCGAGACATTCTTCCAGTTCTTTCGGTTTGTTCTTGTCCAGTCGCTTTTGTCTCCGAATGAAGTATTCCTATGACGAATAGAATCGTTATTTTGTTAATGACTAGGGGAAAAAGTGACGTGAGTAGTCGAAACACACCTCCAACAAGGACTCATATGGAACGCCCAACTCCCTAGCTCGCTTTGCCATACGATCTTGCAAGGCTTGCCATCTTCTACGCCGAGCCGAGCCCGACCTCCCTGTCTTGATTGGATCTGTCCTATCCCTTGGAGGCAACTCTGAATCCCCAGAGGCCTGTAACCTAACATTTTGTGAACTGCACATAACTTTTAGTTCAACTGGGCAGTCCCCGCGACTGTCAGTTGTATCAGGAAAAGTTGTTTCATTCCCAAAAGTTTTACCGGTGCGTAAATAACTGTTTACCACCCGCAAAACTTTCTTTTGTGCTCTGGAAATCCGAAAATTCGCTGTATCACATCGAATTGTGTAGGCGGGACAACACGTTTCACGGTTGTTTGGCTTGTAAGTAAGCCTACCACAACTAGCATACAAATCAAGAAAAAAGGTGACTGTCATACCGACGCCACCCACTGTCCATCAGAATCTTATAATCGTCAGCAGTAAGCACATCAGTAACAGTATCTAAGAATGAGAAGTATGATTCACCTACACCAAGTTGATTTGCTAGGTTGTGAATCCCCGCAGTATCCACAATTTGCATCTCCACTTTCACCAATCAACTGCACAGTAGAAAACATCCTCCCTGAAATTGAAGCAAGTTCAGCTCCATTCGAGGACTGCGGTCCACCTGTTTTCTGATGACCTTGGAACAAAATTCTTGCGATTTTATGGCCCTTTATATTTACTTTTCTACACTTTGAAATTATACAGGGACCTATATTAAAATAGGAAAAGATAAGCATGTGTGCTATCAGTAATATGCCTACATCCTCAGATTCGTTAAATGCCGTAATTAAAACCGCGCCAAAGAATTGCACAGAAAGTAGGCTGAGCAACTAATCTGACGTAATATTAAAGCAGTAGGCAGTTTGAATGTTAACATCGACAAAACACCCAAAATTATTGACTGAGTATTGGCCATAGATTGTTTCTGACTGCGCTTCAAAGCACGCCCGATGTAATAGTCCCTTTACTAAATAAATTAAATGTATCGCCTGCACTTGAGAAGCTCGTGATACTCAGACGCTCTTCTTGAGCGGAATAGGTACCTGGATGAGGGCATTTTATTCGGGCTTTGTTAAACATGTAAGAGGTAAAGAGGTTGATTACAAAAACACTGTAATACTTCGTTTATGTGATCCTTGTACGCATAGGCTGGTCTTTGGGCTGCGCCAAGGCTTGATCCCTTATTCTACTCCTAGAATGTATGTATTTAGTCCAACCTAATGCCTTCTTCTGCCTGGTGGGAAGTCTTGGGACGCTTCCATAACAGCAACTAAAATCTTCCCTTTCCAGCATTTTGACGACGCCATTTAATTCGACACTTAGTTCGCATTGTTGCCGAGTACCCATTCAATTTGTGCGGAATATTTTCGGTTTCTAGCTAGTGGCTTCTTGTGTTTGATGCTATCTGAGCTCACGAGTTCATGTCAGGCATTGCCGCTAATTTTGACACATTCCGCAATGAGTGATGGGCTATCATACGTTTCTTCACTCTAAAACTAATGTAATCTTTGTCGCACTGTTTGTGGACTCTTAACTCTATGAAAGTTTATGCCTTCCCTGAAAAGGCCTTCGAAGGATGTATATATTCCGCGTCTTAAATCGCTGGTAAATGAAAACCAAATGGAAGCAGATGCGACTCACACAGTGTTGGCAATCAGGCACAGTACGAACGCAGGATCTTTAGCAATTAGTAATAATAATAACAATAATGATAATTATTATTATTAAATACACACGATCGAAAGTCACAGCATGTGTTTTCAGCCATTATTAGTTTCTCCTCCGATGTGCATATTAGTGCGTCGAAGGAGGTAGACGAAATGAATGGCAAAGCAGTGCCTCTTCTGGGAGTGGCAAATCGTTAGTGTCGATTGATATCCAGTGCATCAGAAATGGTGGACTGATGGCGTGGCCGACTTTGTGATCAGGCGACGTG